GCATTCTTAATAACTAGCCTCCATTTATGAACAAAATTATTTTTGTTATTGTGGAGGTCGGAAACGTTCTTCAAGCCCACCTGCTTTAAAACATACAAGAGTCTCTATGTCGACTTGAATATTTATTTTTAATTATTTTTTACAAAATTGGTTGTACCAATTATTCCATTTTAAATATCTTTAAGTAGGGTTTTTTTTTTTTTTTTTTTTCTATCATTTTATTAAAAGAAAAACATAATCCTGGACATCATATTGTTGGGCTAAATGAAAATGTTAAGACGAATTGGGCTCGTGAAAATGTCGGCCCAAATAGCTTTTATTAATTAATTTTATTTTAAAATATTTTAATTGAACTATACTCAGATTTAGGTGGCTAATAATAAATAAAATAGTAGAAGATTAGGATTGAAATTGTTGCAACAAAAACGTGGTTGATGAATACGACGTCGTAATATAGAGTGAATTAACAAGTAAATAGAAAAAGGAAATTGGTTGGTTGTGGAAAAGGAAAAGGGGTGCACTGTCCGCAATCATTCTCCTATTGCCTTTTTTCTTTCCTTTATTTTTCTTTTCTTCCAAATAATCATATATCTATATTTATATATAGTCTAATTTAAAAATATTTTTATATGGATGGAGGTTGAATAATCAATTAATTAATTAATTTACAAAAGCAAATATGTCACATGCCACTTTATTTTTAACAAATAACTACATATAAGTTTTATAAAAATAATTATTACTAATCCGTTTAAACTATGATATATATATAGCCAAATATGGGCAAATGAACCAATTATTAAACGGGCTATAAAGTTTTGTACGTAGGAGAGGTTGGTCACACTCCTCGAAACTTCTTTGTTGGAAGAAATCTTTTACTTTATGCTTTTTTTTAATTTGAAAAATACAAAAGTATCAAAAAGAAGAGAGCACTAATTGAGAGGGGAAAAAACACAAATTCAATAAATAATAAATAATAAAGTGAAAAGAAATTGCATTATTTTTGTTTAAAATTGAAAAATTTATGCTTAATAAAGAAACTTTCATATTAATTATTCTTCTTCCATTTCAAAATATATTCAAATTAAAAATCACTGTTAATTTGAATTGATAATAATTATTTAGAAAATAACAAAACAAATTTGACAAATTAGCATTTAATAAATAAAGAACGATATGTAATATTAATAATTATGGACGACATGTCGGCGGGATTCAATCTGAAGACGATGGCCCATTGTAACCGCCAACCACTGATTAGCGCTTTTAACCGCAATCCACGCTCGGAATCAAAATATCGGTCAACTCTAATCCACTACATCACTCTCTAAACCCACCAATCAGAGTTCGTTCAGGTCCAAATTTCAACGGTCAAAACACCAAATACTTTGACTATAATTCCTTTATCCAATCAAAATTGTCCACGTTGGTTTTATCAGTGGATTTAGAAGCAGAGGAACTTCCCTAAAGGAGAAGAAAAGCCGGAGTGTTCAAGAGGGGAATTATTGTGGACCCGATTGAGCCAACTCGGGATTGAAACTCAGTGAAGCTTTTTTTCCGGAACGAGTTGCGGAATCGGTCTCCTCAAAACATCATCATCATCATCTCTGCCTCCATTAATCCTCCACGAAGCATTATAGTTTCGAGGATCGCTTTCACATCAATGGACTCGTCCCCAAAAAGTCCAACCCAACATTCTCTTTAAATTCCCATAACCAGAATCACAATCGAAACCTGAACCAGAACCCATTCTTCTTCAATGGCGGAACCACCGGACCCGGCTTCCGAGGCACTAGCTGAAACCAGACCTCAAATGGGCTCCGATTCTGACCCATTTGGGCTCGGACCCACCGGAAGTGGCGCTTCGACTCCGGCGCCTGGGATTCGGCGGGTGAATTTCAGGGCTGTAATCGACACCAATCCGCCATTCGGGTCAGTCAAAGAGGCCGTGACCCGGTTCGGCGGAAGCGGTCCATGGATACCCTTTTGCAAGGTAACTGATGAATTTTTCTACATTTTTGTCTTTTTTCTTTCTGGGTTGGAGCTTCAGCTCTAGAACAGTTTTTATAATGTTGTTTTCGTTTTTTGTTCTGGATTTCTTGTCGTTTACCTGTCGAGGAAACATGGGCTTATGTCCCATTCCTGGTTTTGTCTCATTTTTTTAACATAACTACAAGAATCAGTTTACCAGGCTGCATTTCCTACTTGTGTTATGGCTTGTTCATGTTTATTTCTATGAGTTCTTATTCACTATGAACTATCATAACAAAGCTGCAGGGGATTGAGGAGTTTGATATTAAGAGAATGGAAGAACAGACAGCTGAGTTGGAGAAGGATCTGATTGTTAAAGAATTGGAAACACTTGATGTATTGGAAGAACTTGGTGCAACAAAGAGAATGGTGGAGGATTTAAAAAGGCAGCTGCGAACCGAAGCATTGAAATGCTTTCCAGCCCCAAATTTCCATTCAGGGGAACTTTTTTCAAGTCCTAATGTCAAAGAAATTGAGGAAAGTTTTGGTGATCTCATTAACAATCACGAGCATGTGTTAGGAGATTCATGCCCTTCACCTGATATGATCTTAATGGAGTTGAAACAAGCAAAAATGAACCTTGGGAAGACTATAAATGATCTGGGTGTCATTCAAACTTCTGTTGAATCTCTTAATAGGAAAATGAAGAGGGAGAAGAGCTTGCTGGCTAAGAGACTAGATGAGGTCGGTCTAAAGCCGAAGTTTTCGGGTCGATCAACATTGGACGAGGAGGAGCTCAACCCAATTCAAGTCAAGTCCCAAGTGACTAACGATGTTGAATTTAAAGATGTGTCTGAGAATTCATTGAGGGAACCTCCTGAGTTGAGTCCGAAGGGTGGAGAACTCAAGAACACAAATGAGCACAAAAGGGCTAGTTTGAGGGCTGCAGAGTTGAGGTTGGTTGCAGCCAGGAAGATGGAGGAAGCTGCAAGAGCAGCAGAGGCAGTGGCTCTAGCTGAAGTTGAAGCTCTAAGTAGCATTGATGGTTCAGCTGGGTTTTCCTTGCAAGACCCAGAGACAGTGGCATTTAACTTCAAACAGCAATCTTTCTTGAAACCTGGGGAGTATCGATTCGACGAGGCGAATTCTTCGAAATCGACCATTGAAAAGAAGTTGAAGGAAGCAAAAGAAGAGCTTAATCTTGGTAAGAAAGCCTTGGAGGAGGCTCTAAACAGAGTTGAACTTGCGAATAGCAAGCAATTAGTAGCTGAAGAGAGTCTAAGAAGATGGGTACCAGAACATCATAATGGGCCTGCCATTTACTACCCGAGTGGCCTCAACAACTTCCACCCTCAAGGCTCTCCACTACACAGCATGAGTAGGGCAGATGGTGTAGCAAATAAGGACTCAAAACCTGTTCTAAGATCGACCATTTCCATGCGAGATGTGCTAAGCAGGAAGCAAGGTTTATCTGGAGACAAAAGGGATAGGCAGTCTGAGAAGCAGAAGGTTGGGTTGAGTCAAATGCTCCATCTCCATGCCTTAAGAGAGGATCTAAGATTTGGTTCAAGAACAGAGAATGAAAGAGATGAGCAAAAGAATGTCCCAACGGAAAGAAAGAGGTTTGGGTTCATCCACATAGCTCTCCCCATGAAGAAACAGAGCAAGAAAAAGGCACAATCATGAACAATCTAACATATTTATTCATTCATTAGTGGGTATCGGTTCTGAGTGATGTGTTGTTGTAATAACACATTTGTGATATTCAATAAGTTCCAGCGATCTTCATCACTGGTTGTTTAATGTTTAGGTTTGAGGCTTTGTAGGGTGATTGGTTGATGCTTAAATTTCTTGGTCGATGAGTATAATGTGTGCTAGGCTATTGATGTTGGCATTGTATTTCCCCCTTAAATTTAGCCTTTTGGAATGCCATATCCTCTGTTAATACTCGTATGCCACTGTTCCTAGTAGATATTGTTCTTCTTAGGCTTTCCCTTTCGGGGGGTTTTAATACTCCTTTGTCATTGTAACCGTCAAAGTTCACCGCTAGCAGATATTACCCTTTTTAGACTTTTTCTTTGGAGCTTCTACTTAGAGTTCTTAAAACGTGTTTATTAGAGACAGGTTTTCACACACTTATAAACAATGTTTTCTTTCTAGTCGACTGGGATCTTACAACCACCTTTTCCAAGCATTGAAACAGGCTTTTGAGTTGAGAATGGTGGATTTGTTTGTGGTGAAGGACTTGCTTAGCTTGGTGCTTGTTTTTGGTTGAATCAAAGGAGAGGACTTTGAATGTGAGTGGTTGGTAGAGTTAGTTCTATGGGTTAGTGGTGGTTGATCTCCATCCTTTATGACAAGGAACAAAGGTTAATAACTAGCAATTAGAATTGCTGACTCCGGCGTGGTGGTGGTGATCATTGGGTATTGGCGGCTGATGGAAAGGGTATGGTTAAAAGAATTCAAAAGATAAAGGAGTAAATTGAAATCTTTTAAATATGGAGGACTAAATTGAAAAGTTATATTAATGTAGTAAATTTTTAGTCAGATTAATCCACGTGGTAAATGTGTTACTAAATGCCCACCAAATAAATCAATTTCTTTTTTTTTTCGTCCTTTTTTGCAAAGGAATAAATCAAATTCTTACCCTCAATTAAAAGTTATAATATGCTCTCCCACGTACCCCATATTTTAAGATAATTATCCACTAAAAATGGTTTATTAAAAAAAAAATATATATATATATATATATATATATATATATATAATTTTTAAGTCTTATAGAATGAGATATTATTTTTTATTTGGGAAATATAAGAATTAAATAAGTGGGAAGTTTTGAATTTAAGTCAACACAGGCGAAATTTAAAATGTTTTAAAAATGTTTTTTTAACAAATAAATAATAATAATAAAACTGGTGATTTGTTTCTTCACTCCCAAAAAAAACTTTCCGTATTATTTTTCTTTTTTAAATATATATATAAAATATATTTTTAATTTGATCTTCCACTGCGTCTCCTTATTCTTCTTCTTCTTCTTTCAAATTTATTTATATATCTAAACCAATTATGTGTTCGTAGGTACATACAGCTTCCCCATCTCTAAATTTCCCTTATTCATGGAAGTCGAACCGACGCCGCAACCGGGACGTCTGAACCGGCTGAACTCCGCCGTTGCCGAAACCTGGATCGGAAAGCGCTTCAAATTAACCGAAAGGAATTCCAACTTCACCACCGAGCTCCGAGCCGGCACTGCCACCTTCTTAACCATGGCCTATATCTTAGCCGTCAACGCCTCCATCCTTGCTGACTCCGGCGCCACCTGTTCCCAATCCGACTGTGTCCCTCTCTGTTCCGACCCTTCAATTTCAATCTCCAACTGTACCGGGTTGGATCTCCGGGTTATACAACCCGACGAGTCCTGCAAGTTCGACCCTGTCAATCCCGGCTACGCCGGTTGCCTCGATCGGGTCCGTAGAGACTTGATTGTAGCGACGATTGTTTCGTCGCTCATCGGTTCTGTTATAATGGGCGTTTTTGCGAACCTTCCTCTCGCTCTAGCGCCAGGAATGGGGACTAATGCTTATTTCGCTTACACCGTCGTCGGATTTCATGGCTCCGGTAATATATCCTACCGGAGCGCCTTAGCCGCCGTTTTAATGGAAGGGTTAATTTTTTTACTAATTTCCGCAATTGGGCTTCGTGCAAGGTTAGCCAAATTAATCCCAAAGCCGGTCCGAATCAGTTCCTCTGCCGGGATTGGGCTATTTTTAGCCTTCATCGGATTGCAGGGCAGCCAAGGAGTTGGTCTAATTGGCTTCAGCCCGTCGACGTTATTGACAATCGGAGGCTGCCCGGAATCTTCCCGGGTGTCGGTGTCGCCGTTGGTGACTTACCTGAACGGAACGGTGGGTCTAATGGCCGGAGGAAAGGCATCGGACAAATTCCTCTGTTTGAACGGGCGAATGGAAAGCCCAACGATGTGGCTGGGAATAGTGGGATTCGTAATAATTGCGTATTGCTTGGTGAAAAACGTGAAAGGGGCTATGATTTACGGGATCATATTCGTGACGGCGGTTTCGTGGATTCGAAAAACGAGTGTGACGGCGTTTCCCGAAACGCCGTCAGGGGAGGTGGCGTACAACTACTTTAAGAAAGTTGTTGATATACACACATTTAAGAGCACAGCTGGAGCACTTAGCTTTAAGGATTTGGGGAAGCCTTACTTTTGGGAGGCCGTTGTCACTTTCTTATATGTAGATATTTTAGATACCACCGGAACCCTTTATTCAATGGCCCGATTTGCCGGATTCATTGATCAAAATGGAGATTTTGAGGGTCAGTATTATGCCTTTATGTCTGATGCTACGGCCATTGTCGTCGGCTCCTTGTTGGGAACTTCGCCAGTGACGGTGTTCTGTGAGTCGTCGACGGGGATAAGGGAGGGCGGCAGGACGGGGCTGACGGCTTTGACGGTGGCGGTTTATTTCTTTCTGGCGTTTTTCTTTACGCCGTTGTTGGCCTCAATTCCGGCGTGGGCGGTTGGGCCGCCGTTGATACTGGTGGGGGTTTTGATGATGAAGGCGGTTGTAGATATTGAATGGGATGATATGCTGCAGGCAATTCCAGCGTTCATGACGTTGCTTTTGATGCCGTTAACTTATTCCATAGCGTATGGTTTGATTGGTGGAATTGGTACTTACATGGTGCTGCATGTATGGGATTGGACTTCAGCTGGTTTGAAAAAATGTGGTCTTTTGAAATCCAGGAGTGAGGTCAGCGGATGTAACGGGCAGCTGCTGGCTGAAGAAGGTCCTTTTCGGAAAACCGTACACCCCGAAGTATAGTATTAGTATATAGTATTATTCCATGGTTGTAATAACTTTTTTAATTAAAATCATTAACTTTAATTGAACTTTACATATTGATATTGCTAGCATAGCTTAGCTACATGAGGAGGGCACGGTCACAGCTGGACAAGCGCCAACATATCGCAAACAAAAGGTTTCGACTTTTTATGATAATAAATCAAACTGCCAGCACCTTGCCTCATTCTTCAATTTTGACCTAAGGTATCATTGTATGTTAATAAATTTTCGAGAAAACCCATTATGGGATTCAACTGCATTTGTAACATTCAATTTTGATCGATGTACTTTTAAAAATATTTAGTTAGGTCCTTGTACTTTTAAATAATTATTATTATTGCATCATCATTTCTATATCATTTAAAAGTACATGAACGAACATGAACCAGAAGTATTTAAATGGAAAAAAAAAAGATGATATGGGAAATAAAGAATAAGATGATAAATGTGTGGTGGCTTTGGGGATTGGGGTGATGCCTCTTCGCTTCACTTTCATGTGAGCCCGAAGGCCAACAGAACCCGCACCTACATGGCTTTTGAGGCAATTTGGGATAAGACAAGACAAGACATGGTCCACAACACGAGTCAAGGGACTTTTGAAAGCGTCCCATATTGTCACCACAATCCACAGAAGTAACCACGAAGCTACCTACTGTGCCACAGACACCCTTACATTTATAAAAATCTCAACCAACTTAGCCAATGGGTTAATTATACAGCCTCATCTCTCAGCCAGATGTCTTTTCAAATCAATCTCACGCGACAGAAATTTAATCCAAACTATGCCACAAGTTGAAAGATATTTTTTGACAATCCCGTACAATCTCGCACCTTCACTGATCAAATATCTGTGTTTTCATATCTATGTTAACAAAATAGATTACTTTAATATCCCAAATTTCTGCATCAGTTTTAACAATTAAATTTACCGCAAGGGGTAAAAAAAAAGTCGGTCATATAAATAAAATCCCCACAAAGAAAAATATCAATTACAAGTGTTTTAGGACAGCACACGCTAAAGTATGACAGTGGCAGGATTTTCTGTTGTTGAATTTGGTGCGGTAAGTTCCAACACAAGTGTCCGAGGCTACTACTGGTGACAAAAGGTTAAATCCTGAACAGATGTGGGAATTGGTTTTCTCCTACTTGGAAGTTGGAAATTCGCTTAACTGCTCTTGTTGGCAAAGTATTAGACGCCGTCTAATTGTTTCTCATGTGAATTGGTGTATTGCTAACCATATGATTTACTATAAAACAAGTCTAAACCTCCCATCGGCTGAAATGGATACAATGAAGCGCCAAGTGGGTTGTAAAGATTACCTCATGTGAGCCTCTCCCTTCTCAGCCTTTCTAGTTCCTTCACCATCTGCCAATGTTCCAGTGACAGGGAGGTTTCTCCATAACTCGCAGATACCAGGCGTCCTATCGTTAGCAACCTGACAAAAATTACAGAGGTTAAGAATAATACGAGGAAATGACAAAATCAGAAATGAACACCTAGCAAGTAATCATGTACTGCTTGCCTGCTTAAGTCTTGGCTGCCTAAGCTCCTATCTGCCTGCTTTACTGCCACCAAGTCATTTTCTACAACCTGTCACGTTGGAGACCCAACATTATTAATTTCAAGCACAAGAGGACAATTGGCAAAACGACATAGTTCGCTTTCAAGATTCGAGTTAACCTAATATGTACCTGCTGCATTTCTGACCCAATGGAATGTGGCAATGACCTTACATTAGATAAGTACCACCCCCATGCTTCTAGTGCATCCATGTCAGTAATTGCGGATGAACCTACAGATGAAGGTTGGAAAGGCACAACCAAATCAGCTGGCAAAATGTTTGATTTGCCCTCGGACAAAATTAGCAATTGGACATCGGTTGCCATATCCATTTTGTAGTATTTGAAATCATATTCGACCTGGAGAAAAGGCTTATTTAATCAATACAAGGAAGAGGAGCCGGTAATATTTCATCAACGTGTATGTACAAATAGTTGCATTAACACAATACCTTTTGCAACTCCATTAGATTTTTCAGTAACCTTGCATTTTCAACTCCAAGAGAACTCAGTGTACCTACTTCTAATTGAGTTTCATCAATCATCAAATGTGTGCCTTCTGCCAGTTGAAGTACGCCAGGAACCAGTCTGTAATTTGCCAACATATCACACCAATTATTTCAATTTGAATGAAATCAGAGAAGCATGCATTAACCAACAAAGTCATTGACCATTAAGTTACCTGTTTATCTCATAATCCTTCTTCGGTGCCAGTGAGGCAGTATTTAGATATTCCACTGTGAGAGGTATATATTCCGTGAATGGAAGAAGGCTCTTCACGGTAAGCCTGAGTTGATTGCCAAAAATGGACATACTTTCTCTGTTAAAACCTGTGAGGTTTAGTGAAAGTTTGCCCACTGCCATGGAATCCACCCTGGCATGTACCTATTCAAGAAATTTGTCCATCAAAATTTAAAGCCACACATGCAAACAGGGTGATAAAATAATTAGCACCGCGACTAATATATGATAGAATTAGATGACGGTTATGAAGGCTCAAAAGAAAATGCCCTTATTTTTAAGAGAACGCCAAAAACTATCGCCATGGAATTAACCCTAACCTTGGACAGAAGATGCAACAACAAAAAATGGGCTGCAAGTCCATCATTGCCAAGAGTGACGGTCAGGTGATTCAGAAGAGTTGCGCGTATCTCTTTAATTCGATGGGTTGTGGGCTGTTAGATAAGAATATAAGATTGTATACATAAGCGGTACACAATGAAAAAGCAGAGAAAAACAACGCTGATGACAGCATAAAAGAATCAAGAGGATAAAATCAAACATCACTTGTAGTTATAGAGTACCTCTAACACATGGCTAGTGCGGAGAAAGTCATGAACAGCAAGTTTCCTGTGAATAACACAATGAAGACGTGGTACCTATACCAAAATAGGAAATTTATGCTATATCAATTAATCTAGAATAGCTTAAAAGTTGTTTCAACTTCCGCTTACTCGACATTATATAATTCTGGAAAACTAATGCTGTGAATTTTAGTAGTAAAACGCTAATGAACCTTATATTATTAGGAGTAAACATTATGTGTTATGTGTTATACCTCTTTAATTCGTAAATGAGAATTAGTTAACAGTCACTTCCAATGGTAGTCAACTAGATAAAAGAAAATGGCAAACGTTCAAAATGCATCAATACCATGTCGGGAGGAAATTGAACTGATAAGTCCTCACTTAAACCATCTGAGAACTCATCATGATCATCCTTTTCAGCTTTTTGCTCTGTGCCCAGGGTAATAACTCCAATAAACTCAAAAACGTCATTCAACTTCAACTCAGACTCCACAGTATCATATACCTGCAATATAAATAGATATTCTGAAAATTAAGTAAACACTTCCAACCCCACTACACAATTGATAATAATTATATGAAAACCTGACACGGGATAGGTTGGGTACTTACCTTAACTAGACAAGGAAGAAAATCCCTTTCAGCACAAAGAGTGCTTAGACTAGAAGTAGCCGCGGTTGAAATATTCTGGGACGGTAAGCCCAGAGAAAGTTGCTCGTCTTTCTATGAAAAGAAAGAGACGAAAACAGAATAAATAGTCAAATTAGAACGAACCGAGACAGGTACAACTGCATAAGGTGAACCAATATACATGATTGCACCCATGCAATAAAAATTAACTAGTATTAAAAAAAATGCTCACCAGCTTTTTCGTACTGGAAGAATTTTGAAGCTCATCACTTGAAGCCTGTGATTTAAAGGGAATGTCAGAAAAGCAGCGTCTACTATTCCTTTTATAATAAAACAGAGAAGTAAAGTAACTGATCCACACATTAAATTGTAGTTAGAGACAGAATTAAAGTCTACTAAATACCAAAAATCCATGAAAAATTCTCTATGAAATCAAAATTCCAAGGAATAACTCTGTTTTCGTCTTGTTTGGAACCATGCAGACTTTTTCAAAGGCTAAATGACTAGGATGGAAACTCCAACTAGAGACCTTTCCATTTAGAGCCAAGTACCTATAACTATTCAAGCTTTCCGGCCAAATGTCAGAAATCTATCAGAACGATAACTCCATATAGCTCCAAGCAGGGACAATGCCAAGAATTTAAATTTAGGACGGGAGGGGCAGAACTTTTATGCAGCCCCATCCCTGGCACATGAATAAATCTAATAAATGCAGTAAGGATGAAATGAACAGCCTAAGGTTTAAAATAAAACAAGAGCAAGTCATAGAGGAAAAAGTACATGTAAGTCCATATGATCAACGGCATTTTCATCCAATCTGCAACGCTTTTGTCTGGTTTCGGATGTCCCCTCAGCACTGTGATTGATCTCTCCTAAACTTGATGATTCCGTCCAAGAACTTTTACCTGGAACCTGAACAAAATGATACAGAAAGAACTAAAGAATCAGTCATCAAGCATCACTGGGTTTGACCTGTATATGCTCAAATTTAAGGTAGAAAACTTTGCAATAACAGCTTATAAACCAGGGATTTCTATTGAGAACTCACAGGCACACAGTATAGCAAACGGCGTTCCCAGATACGCATATCTGGTGAAACTCCAGTTGGACATTGAGAAGAATCCGTATACTTGGTGGTTTTCCAAGTGGTGCCATCCTTCACAATACCAGAGAAAGTCTTAACACACATGAAAACAGCAACATCTTTAACAAATAATTGCTGAGTAGAATATAAATAAAATAACCTTGTAAGCGCCAACATAGAACTCATTTCCCAGCATATCTTGTATCATTCCCCGGAACCGAACAAGAGTGTTGGGCTGAACACATCTAACGCTAGAAGCGTTAAGAATTGGAACCTACAGAATGCTATCATCAAATGACTGATTCCAAAAACTAATAAAACTAAACACTTAATTCTTACTCAATGCCAAATAAAACCTAAATTTCTCCGATAACATTTATTCCAGAAGACCAAAAAACGCGATAATTGAAATACATCCACACAACAAGAGCATCAGTGTAATTGAAAAAAGCAAATCAACTAGTCATCAAATACACAGCGGAGAAGAACTCGATCGCCTCAAGAACTGAAGAAATTTCCTTACAGAGAACAGATATAAATCAATTTGGGAGTAATTGAACCTTAGATAGACCATTTTGGTCGAAAAGGAAGTGGCGAAATGGTTCGAGCGCACCCCAGTCATTGCCATCAAAAGACGAAGGATTAGAACCCGATGATATCGCCTTCTCGAAGGTGGATCTCACAGCGCCAAGTGGATTAACAAGGAAATCGTACGGAAGTCCAACCATGGCTGCGTTCTCTCTCTGTACCTCTATCTCTATCTCTCTCCTGTCCACCATCTTACTTTAGCGCCCTAAATAGAATGAAGCAGGTAGAGAGATTTCCCGCCATATCGCACAGGCTACGCTTCTTAGTTCCCGCCATTTTTCTCGTCCCTGTAACTGAAATTTGGGCCTGGTATTCTTATTGGGCCTTACCTGGGCCTGGTGTTCTTATTGGGCCTTACATTAACAGATATTGGGCCACCGGCTCCCAACTTTCAGCCCAAAGCTGATTCAGATTAGTGGCTGCCACTTGGCTTAGACTCGGCAATATACCTTTTTAACTTGCTGCCAAAGCATTACACAACGCTCAAAACGCGTAGCACCGTCACAGCGCAGCACTGAAAATCCCATGTGGACTGAAGTGGTCAAATTGTGGGCCCATCTATATATCCAGTCAACATGACGTGTGCTGTTATGCCAAAACCAAACCAACTTCTCCACTCTCTCTAATTTTCACGCTCTCGCGCGTCTCTCTCACATCCCACCCCAACCAACTTATTTTCTTTTCCTCTGTCTATTTTAAATTCTTAGCTAAATTTATGAAAAAAAAATACTATTATTATCATTCATTTTTTATAATCATTTTAACGGTTGATTGAGCGCTTAAAATTCACTTTTAAATCCTCACCCTCCAAATAAAATTTTAGTCACAGGAAAAGGAGGAAAAAAGTTAAAAAGAGAAGACTTTTGGAAAATAAATAAATATATATTGGTGACTTTTTGTACCAAATATAATTATAATACCCTCTAACACGTGTCCTTAACCCCCCAACACAGGAGCGTGGAAAATGGCGCGTGTTTTGGGAGGGTGGTACAATATTAAATAAATAAACTAATAAAAATCAAACGTTTGACCTTTTCAACAAAAATAGCCTCCTTTTTATTTCATTACGCTTCATAAATCAAACCAACTCCACATTCACTTCGCATCTTCCAATTTTTCAATCTTTTTTTTTTTCTCTCTCTCTTCTTCCATCAATGGCGAAGCTCTTCAAAGTCCCAAAATTGTTCTTTGTTTTTGCTCTGATTCTTTTCATCTCTGCTTCTTCTTCTTCAGCCAGATTGTTGCGCGATCAATCTCTTTCCGCCGCCGTGCCGGAGTTGAAACTTGATATCCCGGCGGCTCTTTCGAGGGAGTATGGGCCTCTGCTTCTTGGGTTTCTGCCGAAGGGGAGGATTCCGCCGTCGGGACCGAGCAAAGGGACCAACGACTTCAACACTTAGAATTTTTGTTGGTTTTTTTACGTAAAATGTAAATACTCGTTTAAAAGCGATGTAGATCGAGAGAAGGAGAGGTCTGATATTTCATTCATTATTTCATTATCATGAAATCATTTGTACTATTAATTAACGTTTACTGATTAACTTAATCATTGGATTATTATGTTCTGTTAGTTACTGTGTTTGTTGTTCTATACACCGCTCTGGATCCCTGGAAAGAAAAAAATTGTCACGGAATTTGAGAATTAATTTGAATATAACTGATTGATTAAGGTATTTCATTGATAAAATTAAAATAGCAGTATAAATGTTTATAAAAAAAAAAAGTATTCAAGCAATAACATTTTCAATCGTTGGATCCACGACAACCCCATTTAAGTTCGACATACAAATTCAACGCATTGCTTTATGCAAATTCTAATGACCAAAAATGTGATGCTTTTGCCAGCAAATGTCAAACGCTTAGCTAATCAATGTCTGTTTTCACTACGAAAAGCATAAGTAATATATTTTAGTTCATATATACAAAAAAATAACTGTTTTGATTGTTCATTTAACATTTTCTTTTTTTTAAAATGTTATAATTTTGCAAAACATAGTCATAATTTTTTATTAAAGAACTTCTGTATATTAAATTTGTATGATAATTTCATGGTCAATTTTGGAAAAGAAAAGATTTTTTTTATTTATTTTTTTTAACATTAAGAAATTAAAACAAGCAATAATTCTAGTTGGGTCATGTGGTTCCCTATTAGATATTTTGACATGCTTTGTCTCTAAGGTATGAAAAACAGTAGTATGGTCCAACAAATGGGTCTATAAGAATTCGTTAATTTGTGTTGAGAAAGGAACGACCCACCATAGATTTGTGATAGCTTCATACTACGATAGGCATTGTACAAATCTATAAAGCCTCCTAGACAACTTCAAATAAAATAAAAATAACCTTCACGAGATTCCCAATGAACAGAACTATTTGAACTTAAATTTGAATATACTATTTAGTGATAGCTTTAAATCATGCGAAGGGAGGAGCTCTCACAAAGCACATATCTGATTATTGGGTATTGCTACGACATACATGTTTGCACTTTCATTTTTCTTTTCTCAAACCCTGAATGAATTTCAGAATTGTGAATTAGAAGTAAAAAAGAGATACGAGACAGGAATGATAGATAATTGAGCCATGACAAAAACATTGAAAATGTTCAAGTAGACCCCGTTCAACCAAAAATTAATCAGAATTCAACAGTAGAACATAATTTGATACTCAAAACAACGCCTCGAACTATTTTGAAAAACCTAATAAAATTGAAGTCCACGAAATTTGGGAAACCATGAGAAAATTAAATAGCAAGTAAGACGTTCCTTCAAGCACGGGGTGGAGCTCCAGGGCCAGCTCCAACGCGAGGAGCCTGTCCTGGCTGTCCAGGCTTTGGTGCATCTTCCTGAGAAAACATGGACAGAACTCAACCAAATAAGAACAGACAATATGGATTCGTACTCGTGAGAAGCAAGTGAAACGGATTCATAACTAGTGAGCAGCTACGCACAACCATAAATAATCCATTTATCAAACTAAAAGAACAGCAAGCTTGTCATCTCAAATACTATTAACTGCCATGTAAACAAAATAGCAATCTTCAAATTTTTGAAATGTGAGATTTTTATAAAAAGGGCCGTGTGTCCGACAAGACTATTGAAACACAAGGATAACAACTCGTTACCCATGAATATTCATCAAGGCTACTTAATCGTGGTTATCAATAACCACACTGATAAACAGTAGGCCCATGAATCGTCCAATAACTCTGGGTAACGACAGTTTTTACATAACTCAAGAGTCAATTCTTATCATTCATATCGCAAAAAATTAATATTGATACGCTAATCATGCATCTGCAAAAGCTAGAAAAGATGAATATAATAGAAGAGAAAAAATATATATATATATCCCATATGGACTTGCATAATTAATCATTAGCAAAATGAGAGTAGATAGGAAGATATACCCTGCGTCTAATGAAGCGCTGTGGAGGATCACGCTTCCTCCTGTCAGTGCGTGATCGAACCCTCACAACGTGAGAGTGGATAGCACAAGAAACACAGTACTGCATCTTGGCATATAGCTTAGGAAGAGTGTACTCTGTACAAAAACAAATATCAAAATTACACTTGAATTGTTAAAATGGAAGACAAAGAAAGAATGCGATCAAGAAAAAGGCTCATACGATCATAGACACAGGCTTCCTGAACATCTCTAACAGCTGCCTGCTCCACAATGTTCCTAACAAGGAACCTCTTGATGGCCTTGTCCTATTGAAGCGAATAAGAGATCACATAATTAGATATTCTGTACCAAACAGTGAACAAAAATCCCACAGATAATTGCATTTGATGAGTCTCAGCCTTTAGAACACAAAATAGACCAAGAATACCAACAACGAAACAGGAAACGTAAAAAACAAGCGGTGAATTGCTCGCTTTTTAGTTCAATGATGTGACGAAATCAGTAGCTACTAAATTGTAAATGCGTCGCGAAAGAATTTCAGATGGCTATATATTGTTTAGCAGATGTAGATAAAAAAGAGAGCAACGTCGACGCCTAAGATATACGAATAGATTGAACAGCGAAAGAGGAAAAAGAAAACCCTAGGTACCTTGGGGCAGCATTTTCCGCAGTTGGAGCAGCGGATAAATTTCACGTGTCCGCGTCCGTGCTTGTTGCGTCCACCATTCCTACGCTTGAAAGTCTGAACCAAAAGAGAGATTGTCAAGAAAATTATTAACCAAACACGAAGGATCGAAGCAGAGTGGTGAGAGATCAGGTTACCATAGCTCCAGTGTCTCAGATGACCGAACGAACCAGAGAGAATCAGAGAGCTCGTCGGCTGAAATAGGGTTTATGAATTGATGGTAGTGATCCTTTTATATGAAGAGGACGCAGAAGGTGACCTAGCAAATGAAATCCCTAATTTCTTATATTTGCAAATAACCCCCAATGTTCTGTTTTTCATTCTTTACCCCGAAACATGGGTTCATCAATTTGGCCCATTGCCTTTTCTTTTTTTACAGCCCATTGGCCCATTCCTAAAAAATACATCTTATGATAATGGGCCGAAGTAAATGGGCTGTAAAAAATAAAAGGAAATGGGCCGAAGTGATGAACTGATGGGCCAATGGGCTGTAAAAAAATAAAAAATAAAAAATTTATAATAATACATTTAACTCATTTAATAAAAGTTATTTTAAACGTTTTTATGAACTTTTTTTAGTAATTTTCCTAAAATATTTATACAAACCGACACTATTTTCATCCATCTTTTTATAAAATAGTCTATTCTTCAATATTAATACATTTGCTACATTTGCGCTTGCAAGCATCCTCACATAGGGTCGCAGTGACTAAAAAAACATAAGTTTCAGCAAAGTCGTAAGACCATATATGGGGGTTGACACTTGCCCGATGCTGCCATTGCTAGAGTCTCATTCGTCATGTGTCGTATCTCATTCCCAATAAGTAGAGCAGCTTGAATCCATACCCTTGTTTTCCACCTTGACCCTGAGTCGAAGCACTAAAGGTTACTGTTTGGTATAGATAAGTTGACATGGATAAGCTCCTCGAGCAGATACCATTCGAATAGGGAAGCTCATTCTTCCATTATCGAGACCGCCTTGTCTATGTACACGACCCCTCTCTTAAAGATGTGCACCAGCTATAAGAAATATTAGTCCCTCAAATTTTTTAAAAAATTATATTACATTTTCATAAATTTGGAGTTCCATATATATGTGTGTGTGAAAC